TGTATTAAAAACTTCAGACAAATTAAATTTAAAAGCAGTTAATTGAGCAAAGAATGACTTGTGAATTGAACAGCCGCTCATACCCAAATAGTTTCAGAGCTACTCTGGGACTGATGCATAGATGGATAATATTTATGGACAGAAAAAGGAAATTGACATGCAGAAAATGAAAGTGAGTTACAGAAACAGCTGGATGGGTTTACAGCTTGGCATTTACCATAACTGAACCTGGTTTGAACAGTTGGCCATCTGATATTAGCCAAAACACTGTAATTGGTCCAATAGTAAGTTACAGTCTGTTTACACGTCCAGTAAGGGTACAGTTCACGATGTATAAAGAAATCTTGGGCCAAACTTAAAATATGTAAGAAGCAACTTTAGGCTAAACTTAATTTATCATATGAATATACTGTTATTTATCCATTTTACTTTCAAATAATGTTTAGGTTGTTTCCAATTTGGCACTATTATGATAATGCTGCTATGAACATTTCTGTGCATGTCTCTTGCTATGTATATTCAACTGTTGGATATGTACCTAAGGAGTGAAATTGCTGGTTCTTAAAATATGCATACATTAGTTTTCAGAGATTGTTTATCAAAGTGATTTCTTGAACCAATTTACAATCCTACCAACAGGGTGCAGACATTCTGGTTTCTCCACATCCTTGCCAACACTTACAATTGTGTGTCTTTTTACTTTAATCATTCTTGTGGCTATAGAGTGGTAGCTTATTCTTTTTTTTGTTTTGTAAATCTCTAATAGCTAATGAGATTGCCATCTTTTTATATATGCACTGGCATTTGGTAATCTTAGTTTATGAAGCCTCTTGCCCATTTTTCTGATTGTTGTCTGTTTTATTCTTATTGATTTATAGGAGTTATGAATAACTATTGGTGATTTTTGTTAGCTATAGATCTTAGAAGTAGTTTATACTATGGCTTGTTTTTTCACTCTTTTTATGGTGTCTTTTGAACTACAAAGTATTATTATAGTCAAATTATTAATCTTTTCTGTTGTGTTCATGCTTTTAAAAGAAATCTTTCTACTCAAACTTGTGTATATATTCTCTTACATTATTTTCTAGAAGCTTTATTTTTTGCCTTGTATATTTATATCTAATAGCTACTTGGTATTGATTTTTGTGTATGGTATAAGTGAGGAGACAAGTTTTATTATTTTTCAAACATATATCCAATTGACCTAGAACTACCCTCCTTTTCTTTATATAACATCCTTTAGTGCCAGCAGGATATAAAACAAGTGCCTATGTACATATGGATAACTCTCATTGATTTATTTAGTCCACGCTTGTACAGATACCAACTATCTTAATTACTACATAAAGCTACTGTTAGCTAAAGCAATTTTTCCTTCTTTCTGAAGAGTATCTTGGCTATTTCATTATTTTGCAGCTTCATATAAATTATACAATAACTTTACATACATGCACATATACATACACACCACAAAGAGGACTTGGGATTTTGAATGACAATTTACTGGCTGAATCTACAACTCAATTTGAGTAGTCTTTCAATCAATCAACTAGATGTTTCTGTCCATTTATTTAATCTTCATTTACTTTACTCAAAACTTTTTTTTGTTTTTGTTTGTGTCTTGTTTGTTTTTGTTTTTGAGTTGGCATCTTACTCTGTCAACTGAATTTGAAGTAAAGTGACATAAATCAGGGCTCATTGCAGCCTCTAACTCCTGTACTGAAGCAGTTCTTCCACTCCATCCTCCCAAGTACCCGTGTCGACAGGTGTACATGATCACACACCACTATTTTTTTTTTTTTTTTTTCAGAAATGAGGTCTTGCTATATTGCACAGACTGGTCTTGAACTCCTAGACTTAAGGAGCCCTCTCACCTCAGCCTCCTAAAGTGCTGGAATTTCAAGCATGAGCCACCACACCTGACTCAAAAAGTTTTGCAGTTTTTTTCTATACAGGTTTTTCACACCTTTAAATAGGTTTATTTCTAGTTATTTGTTTTTAATAATATTGAAAAGTTAAAATATCTTTAAATTCCATATTTTATGTGTTTGTTGCTTTCATATACAAATATGATTAATTTTTGAACATTGACTCTGTATCATTTAGTAAGCTGATAAGTAATTTATTAATTTTAATAGTTTATTCTTTATTATGTTGGATTTTCTACATACATAGTCATGCCATCTCTGATTCATAACTTTTAATTATTTTATTTTATTTCAGTGAGTGAGGTCTCACTCTGCGGCCCAAGCTAGAGTGCAGTGGCACGATCATGGCTCACCACAGCCTTGATGTTCTGTGCTCAGGCGATCCTTCCACCTCAGTCTCCTGAATAGCAGGGACTACAGGTGTGCACCACCACATCTGGCCCCCAATTCTTAAATTTTTTCTATTTTTCTATTTTTTTTTTTACTTGTTGCACTACACAATTTAATGCCTCCAACTCAGTGTTGAACAAAAATTGTAACAATTTGTATCCTTAAAGACAGTAAAAAGAAATTACTTTCATTAATATATGTGATACTTGCTATAAGTCTACAAAGGTGCTAATTATAAAAATAAAGAATTTTTAGAATTTCGAGTTTTCTGGATTATTTCTAGATTTGTTTTCTTTTTTTAAAACTGGATAATAAATTTTAACTATAACTTTTCTGCATCTACCAAGATGATCATATGATTTTTCTTTCCTTTAGTCCTAATGTAGTAAATTACAATGATTTTGAATGCCAAATCAATCTTACTTTCATATAAAAATCCCAATCTGTTTATTTATTTATGTAATTTTCAGTTTGCTAATTTATTTTTCTTTTATATCTACAATCATGTGAAAAATTGGCCTATAATTTTTTTTTCTTGGTACGACATGGTCAGGTTTTTCTGTCAAAGTTTTGCTTTTGACCAGTCATGGTGGCTAATGCATGTAATTCCAGGTCTTTGGGAGGCTGAGGTAGGAGGATCACTGGAGCCTAGGAGTTTGAGATGAGTCTGAACACATAGTAAGACTTCATTTCTGCAAAAAAATTAAACTAAATTAAAGTTGTGCTTTCTTCATAATGCAGTTCATAACACAGCACATATTCATTCAACACAGTTACCCTCTTAATATGGAATTAGTACTGTTCTTATATCAAAAATGATATTATAAGGGAGAAAAACAAGGAAATAAAAATATATAAAACATACTACATTATTATTTATAAAAAGATAAGATAATTGACAGTATAGGGTTATGACAGGTTATTTTGGACAGAGTGATGATAAAAGATTCTTGTTAAGAAGTATGCTCTGAGCAAAAATGTGAATAAATTGAATGAATAAGGCACTTATAAATTAAAGAAAAGATAATTCCAGGCATAAGAGATTGCAAATGTAAAGGCCCTGGGGCAGATATTAGCCTGACTCTAAGAAAAAATTTCATGAAAGCCATTGAGAGAATGGTAAGAAATAAGGTCATTATTGACCTAAGATCAGTATATATAGGACCTGGTAAGCCTTGGTAGAGATTTTGAAGGTTTGTTTTTTGTTTTCTTTCATTTTTCAAAAAAGTGATGAGAAGTTTCTGGAAAGTTTGGTCAGGGGAGTACTAGTGATCTGATTTTCATTTATAAGAACACCTTGGTAATAGACTCAAGAGTGGTACTCTCAAGGATGTAAATAGGGAAACCACATAAGTTGCTCAGCAGTAAAGACAAAGGAAGATGCCGGCTTTGAATTGAGTCTCAGCAGTGGAAGTAATGAGATGAGATAGGATTTGGGATGTCATTTGAAAGTAAAGGTGATAGGACTTGTTATTGAATGAGATATTTTAAAAGTCTTAAACTTTTTGGGGGGAGAAATAAAGTAAATTGTGGTGCTATTCCCTGACAGGGTGTGGACTGGGTTGGAGAAGAGTTAAGTTGAGAGTGAAAAAAAAGAGTTGTATTTTGGATAAGTTAAAGATGCCTATCAGATTCCAAGTGGAAATCATGTCAGCTTTTATTTATAGCTCTCTAGAGAGATTGGGGTAGTACTCAAAATATAAATTAGAGTATTATGAAAGTATACTGTAAATCATATTCAAAATCAGAGGACTATTGATATGATCCAGCATGGCAATATAGACAAGGAACAGAAGAAGTATAAGAACTGAGCCCGAGGGTACTACAACATTTAAAAGATTGGGAGGAGGATTCTGCACCAAGATTATATGAGTGACTAGTCAGTTAAAAGCAGAACAAATCAAATGTGATCATGCTGAAGCCAATACTAACACATGTGATCCCAAGATCATTAGCAATCTATTTCTGGAGAATTTAAAATAATCCTTTCAATATTATCTATTTACTGGAAATCTGAAATGTTACATTAAATATAGGCATAGTGTTATTAATATCACCTAACTAATGAATAATTAAGCATTTGTATATACCTGTGGTTGTAATATGAGAGTAATTAATTCTGGGATTGAACAAGAAGGGGGAAGAACTATCATTTAAACAAGTACTAAATATTCATTATGCTTCCTTTTTACTGGGTCTCACATAGTCTCATAAAAGAGAATTCAATATGGAGTGATGAAAATATAGAGACCCATGCTGATGTTGTGAAGTAGAAACATTCTCACTACTTGAAAGTTAATTTGGAGCTGGGCTCGATGTCTCAGCCTGTAATCCCGCGCCTTGGGAGGCTGAGGTGAGAGGATTGCCTGAGCCCGCGGGTTCAAGACCCGCCTGGGCAACCTGGCAGGACCTCATCTCTACAATAAATCAAAAATCAGCCGGGCGTGGCAGCGCATGCCTGTAATTCCGGCTACTTGGAAGGCTAAGGTGGAAGGATCTCCGGAGCCCAGCAGGTCGAGGCTGTGGTGGCCGGGAGCGGCCACTGCACTCCAGTCTGGGCGACAGAGTAAGACTCCAACTCAAAAACAAAAGAAAAGTTAATTTGGTATTGAACTTACATGACCTCATATTCTCTATAAATAAGTGTTAAGGTTCCTTTAATCTCTGTGCTTCTTTCCACAGGTGGGGAGGTCCCATACACGACTCTGGCTACCCGAATGATGATGGGGGCTTGGTGGCTATTCGCTTTGATTGTTATCTCATCTTACACAGCAAACCTTGCTGCTTTTCTCACCATCACTCGCATTGAAAGCTCCATCCAGTAAGTAGACACAGATTCTAGTAGCCATAAAGCAAGAGGGATGGGAGTGGCCAAAGTTAAATGAGAATATGGTCTCTTAACAATAAATTTACAACTTCTCTTCAAGTAAAGACTTAGTTTTATAATGCTGCAGAATATCACTGGGTAGTCCAACTCCTGAAAATTCAATATTGGTATGGCATTTCTTATAAAATAAACTGTTGGCTATAAGTTTAAAGTTGCTTCTCACATTTTTCTGGAAGGAGAGCACACCTTCAGAATTTTAACATCCACAAAGATTGAGTATGCCTGAGTAACATTGTGAAAAGGAAGGAAAAAAGAGGCATACTCAAAAAAAAGTCTTTGCCTTAAGTCTCTGCCAGAAGAAACAGTGAAATAGGCATAAATATTTAAGAGATAGATGGATGACTGAGGAAGCCAAGGGGAAGAGAGAAAGGGGATATGGAATAGCAATCAATAGAGAAATCCTGGTATTTCAGTAACCACATTCTCATTTCATCTTCATTATATTTCATTTAGTGTGTTCATTATTGCCAAATGGTCATTAGGCATGGTGTACATACTGAAATCGTAAAAGTCACCGTAAGTCAGGACCTTAATTCACAGATGCCATTTCCATGAGCCCTTAGATCCCAGAGGTCTTTCATCTTCCTTGGCCAGTTTTGATTCTGTAGTTTCATGCTATAAGATCAACACCACCATATAATTTCTGCCTTATTAGAACATCATGTTCTATATGTTAAGAAAAATTTTCTGGAAAGTGTTTTACCCATCTCAAAACAAGATATTTTGAGTTTTCCTAAAGTTGAACATTCATTTCTCGACAAGCTGGCAATTCAAAATTAGAAAACTTAGATATGTCAGGATATTCCTTAGGAATATAACTTATTCTTAAAAGAAAAGTAACAATAATTCTTTAAATAAATGTGTAAATGAAGTTTATTAATAGCCACAAAACTGTTATATCATAATACTTAAAATATAATCAATAATTAAACATCCATAAAGATGTAGGGTATTTTTTTCAATTTGCTTGTTATACAGATTGAATCCCCAAAATTCAACTAACACAAAGCGTAAAAAAGAAATTGGAGGCAATGAATGCCCACCTTTGCTGTGTATTATGTTCCGAAAACTTGTTCATCTTATAACTGAAAATGTGTACCCTTTGACCAACATCAATCATTTTCCCCACCTCTGAGCCCCTAGAAACCATCATTCTACTTCTGATTCTAAGAGTGTGACTTTGTTTAGATTCTACATATGCACGATATCATATAGTATTTGCTTTTTGTGTCTGGCCAGTTTCACCTAGCATAGGGTCCTCCAAGTTCATCCATGTTCTTGCAAATGGCAAAAGACTTTTTACAAATTAAAATGGAGTATTTTATATCATTGACATACTTTTTATCAATTGTCTAACTCTGCCCATTTTCGATATACTTAAAGCTAAAAGTCCATGTAGTTTACATCTGACTTTGAAGCAATTTAAAATTTTAAAATGATGGAAATGTCAAATAACTGATCATATACAACAACAATAACAATTATAATAGCAAACAAAAAATTATGACTAATATAGCCCTAGAATTTATTATAGCCAGAAGTTAAGCACATTACATATATTATCTCATTTATTCCCCAGAATGACTCTAATAATACAAGTACTACTATTACTACCACTCTGTAGATGAAGAAATAGGATTTTAGAAGTTAACTGCTTAAGATCACAAAGTCAGTACATGTCAGAGTCAGAAATCTAAAACCAGATCAATCTGAAACTAATCCGTAGCCTTACCCACTGAAGTCTTTTCCTTATCTAGTGGTTGTTCCTACAGTTTTCTGATTGATCTGATACTTCTCTGAGGTTGCAGGCATTACAGTATGTGTGTATAGCTAAGCTATTTAGTTATTGATAACTTTGCCAGCATCTGTTGTTTTTTTTTTAATCTAGACTTTCATGCAATAGCAGTGGGAGCAGAATCTCTCTCAAATTTTTACACCCATAAGGTTTCTCTAAAAGTACAACTTAATGGAAAAAAATTGTAATTTCACATGATATTTCCCTCAAGCGTAGTTTTACAACCCAAAGTAACTGAGCATTCATTTCTTTAAAAATTATTCCTTTCCAATGCCAACTGGTATTATTAAAAGTCATCAGTGGGTACAATAAATCTCTACTTCCTTCTAATATTATCACTGGGCTAATTTTTGAAGGAGAGACTCAGAGCCAGATAAATTAAAAGAAGTCAGATTCTCTCCCAAAATTTAAAGATATCTTCTAATTTCATGCCTCAGCTGTGTTGGTAAACATAATTGCCTGCAATGTTTCTTGGAAACATTCAAAGTTCCATTTGTAACTAATGCCAAAGTTTCTTGGAAAAATCTAAGTCTAATTTTTCTTAGAAAACACAAAAACTTTTTTTCACAATAACATTCAGTGTCGTGTTTCTTAATCATTTATATTCATAAGATTTGCTCATCACTAAATAAGACTTCTGTGCATGTCAATGCACCTTTTTCCAGCCCAATTTTTCTGTGCCATTGGCAAACATACTAACCACATCTTCATTCCCAAAATTCAAAGCTGCTTCTGCAAAATAAAATGGGCTGAGGTGGTTAGAGAAATGTCAGTGAGAGAGAGAGGAAAACCAGTTTCTTTGAACAGATGGTTGACAGAAACTCTCCTAGTTTGGTAGGAGAAATTCAACAAATTTCTTCTCGAGAAGTTGAATGCTCTTTATAAAATGCTACCCTTTTTCAAAATTAGATATCTATGGGCATCTAATGTTCTGATTAGCAGTTGTCATCAATAAAAATTTTGAAAGTGAGTTTTCTCTGGAAAAGATAACCCATACGCTTAATTTTGTATCCCTTCACTGATGGGGCAGCACAATGTAACTGTTCTGCTGTTTGATACAATGTAATTTGACAGATTGTGAGACAGTTGGAATGGGCAATATTGATATATACAGTAAAATTAAAGGGAAAATGCTATTTTGTAAGACTGTAATTATAATGTGGATTTTTTCAATTCCTTTGAGAGATGATAACATATAGTTAATCATTTTCACGCACCTAGAAAATGGAATGTACTTTTGTCTAACAGTAACCAGGCTAAAGGTGGCAATGGTGAAATGAAGCATGTGAAGTTTTGAAGGTACTTTCAGAGTTATCACTGAGTAATAACATCATCCACTTTAGCTTCCTTTGCCTTTTTTGTAATGTAACTTTCAAAAAGCTACTAATTTCACATAAAAGTGAAAATAGCTATGGGGAAATCACAGTTGTGTAGTTATGGTCATTAATAACTTAAACTCATATTGGTCTTTGGTGATGAAACCCGAGTCTTTTCATTCCCTGGGACTATAAGCAAACTTGGGTCTACTCCAAGGGATCATAACATTCCACCATATTTTTGCATTTAGTGCATTCGTTCTCCATAATACCTGAGATTGAACTAAACCAAATATTGAGTTAATGCTGTCATTGAATCAAAGCAATCTGAGATAACATTTCTTTCCAAGCAGATACAAAAAGAGATTCATAAATATTATATCTACTAGAGGAAATCCCTTTTCTCCTAGCATGCCAATAACAGAATTCTTGCACCTACATTTGTCTACATTTGAAAAACGAAAAGAATTATTGAGCAATTGTTTTTCTAAGCGCTCCATGGTGAGAATGAGCTAGTCAGGTTTAGAAATCATAATCTGTCACTAAATCTGGTAGTAAAGCCTGAGGATAGAGAGACTGGGAGCAGCGGGGCTGGTGTTCCTTAAGGAAAGGACAGTAGGACTAAATCCTGAAGGGCATGGTAAGATTTGTTTTTAAAATCTGGAATTTTGCATTGAAAAAATGGAGAGTGGCATCACTGAAGAAAAACAGCTTTATTTGTGGAGTGAAGGATGGGTGGGAGAGATAAAAATGAAGAACTGTATAGAAAGTCATTAAAGTTATCGAATGCACATATATTAATGGCATTTAACAAGTTTGTCTCTACTTGATATAAACCTGATCCACATAGCTTCCTGTTTCAAAGGCTATTTAATTTGATAATCCCAGAGGATATGGATAACTTAAGAGAAATTTGGCTTCAGAAACATTATATATCTAGGCTAATATTTACATTTATAGTGAATGCAGGAACATCACCTCAGCTTACTTTTCTTAAAAATACTTAAGGAAGGGATGGGCTTTACTACCACTTAGCTAACCAGGTAAGGAAGAAGAAAATTACTAATACAAGGAAATTCTAGAAATCACTCTGACTAGGCTACTTTTCAGATGCAATATTGCAGAAAAGTTACCATCACTAGATTTGCTATTTGTGGGGCCTGTCCTGCCTCTCACTTGTAGTTGTGCATCATCAACAAATAAGATAGGCATATTTCTATTTGATTTGACAGGAAAGTACAGTAAGATTTTGAAGGATAAAGCAATAATGATGTATAAGCTGCCATGTGGCAATACATTCTGTTAATATCTGGACAAACTTTCTGAAACTTTTTATTTTGCTGTTAAAATATATATACAGAAAGTTGCCAAGATATGGTGCAAAATATCATTACTCCTCACCCAGTTTCTCTCAATGTTCACATTGTAAACAATAAACCAGGAAATTAACATCGGTACAGTGTGTACATATAGGTCTATACCATTTTATGACATGTGTAGTCTCTTGTAACCACTGCAAACAAAATACAGAACTATTTCGTCACTGCAAAGATCTCCCTCATTCTGTTTTCACAGTCACACTCACTCTTCCCCACCAACGCCAATACTGGCAACTAATAATATGTTCTCCATTTCTGTAATTTTTGTCATTTCAAGAGCATTATATAAGTTGGATCATAGAGTATGTGGCTTTTTGAAAAAGACTTTTTTTTCAATCAACATGTATTATCTTTGAGATGTATTCAAATTTTCACACGCATCAATAGTTCATTACTGTTTATTACTGAGTAGTACATGGTATGGATGTACCAGTCCTATGCTTA